CCTGTTGAAGATATCTCTTGGCCCTCGTAGCAGAACAAAGAGTTGGCCCATGCAAAATTCTCTCACCAGGAATAACCAGTTCTCCTCCACTTGGGGTTCGAACTCTCACCAGATGGCATTCACAGTCAATCATGGCCCCATTGGGGCCCAACCAGTCCATCCCAATAATAATCTTAGATCCTCATATAGGGATCATCACTAACTCAATAGAGCGTCTATCGCTGAATAGATTTTGAACGCATCCATGATGAACCCTCGAAGCACTCACAAAACGATCATCAGCAATCTCGACCTCCAACAGATAGTTTAAAAATCCTAGGAGCATCTTTAAACTTATTGCTAAGAACAAGAGATATAAAGGATCGGGTAGCACCCGAATCAAACAGAACATGAGCACTCATACCATTGACTAAGAAGGTCCCTAAAAAGGATTAGATACGATTATAGGCGTAAATAAGGAAGGCAAATAAGATATACTAATAATAAAATACATACTGGTAACCACATACGGTGCTGCATGAGCCTCATCGATAGTCAGCTCGAAAGATCTACTCATCACCATAGGTGTCTCCACATTGCCTTGACGGCCATCGGTAATCCAAAAAGTGGCGGGTGCAGGCCCACCACTGCCCCTCCTGACAACCTCAGACAATCAGCCTTTTTACAACCTGTCTGGTTGCAGTGGTAATATATCAATACACTTTGGCGGCAATCCTTAGTCATATGCCCAGCCTAAATTCGCCTGAAATATCAAGAACCTGCCAATCGACATACCCAATTGTGCGGCTTGCCACACTTGACGCAGCAACCACTTCCCTCCTAGTCCATAGAATGTGGCTCTGAAGTCTTAGCCCTCTTTTCCTAGCCCACAACTATCTGCACCTGCTCTGACTTGCGCTTCGCCCGAAGCTCCAACTCAATCTCCCGCTAACGGGCCCTATCGATCATATCATTCAAGGTCTTGCACCCCGAAAAGCTCACAAACTCTCTGATGTCATCCCTTAACATGTCATGGTATCTCGTCTTCTTCATCTCCTCATCCACAACGTAATATGGAACCAATAGATCCCACTCATGGAACTTGGCAATGATCTGATCTACATTTTCAATAGTCTGGCGAAGGTCCTGAAACTCGCTCGCCAGCTGCTGCACCTCGATCACCAGTGAAAACTCCCTATGAAATGTCGTAGCGAATGCCTCCGAAGACATGATTGCTATAGCCGCAGTCCCCATGGCTCGACCAACCTCATCCCACCAGTTATGTGGCTGTTCCTTTAGTAGGAAGGATGTAAACCCTACGTTTTCTCCTTTTGGGAAAAAACTAATCCACATATCATTTTCTGTGTCAACGATCTAGCATCGAATTCCGATGTGGTCATTAGCCCCAAATAACTCAGGAGCTCCACAAGCTTTGAACTCCAAAAAAGAGGAAGTCTGTGCTACTATCAGACCTGCAACATTCTCGGTAGAAAGGCACTGAGCCGCTTATCCATAAGCTCCATAATACCCTCCTTGATGGTACCATTCATCATAGGGGTACCATCCAAAATTTTGTGGGTAAACCTCGATCTAGCAGATTTTCGAGTTTTCGTGCTGGAATTGGTCTAGAATCATTACCTTAAACTGTATTGGACTTATAAAACCTATTTTTGATGTGGTAATGATTATCGTAAACCAATTTCAAGGTTATTATCAAATTTTCAAGTTTTATATGTGTTTATATGTTTCTTGAAATTGTTGATATGATTGTTCATACACTTATGAGTTTTCGTAAATCATAGGAATTATTTGCAAATTGTTTGTTACTTAATTCTTGATCTAAATGTTTTTAATGGAGTCCATAATTTTTCCTCAAGTTATGGATTACCAAAAGTCATAGGTTACACAATTGAAGAGTCTTTTTCATCATAAATTGTCTGATAAACTCCATAACTTGTCCTCAAGTTATGTATGTTCAAGAGTCTCTTCATTAAAGTTTTTAAAACCTTAATTAAACTCATAACTTATGAAAATCCTAATTTTTTTTGAATTGTTCAAAACTTGCCCTCAAGTTTTGGAATTTGTAAAGCCTCATACACACTTTAATTCCAAACCCTAGAGTTTTAAAAGTTAAAATTCAACCCTTATACTTTATAGTATTTTAAGTTAATAATATATATGTATAAGAGCAAGTTAGTCTTACCGTTAGTAGGCCTCATTCCCGAAGTCGGTCTACAAGGGTGTTATAAGGTTGTTGCCTATAAAATGGTAGCTTAATGGGTGTCCACTCTCACCCACCGCTTCCTTGACTGGTGGAGGGTTATTAGCCGAACGGGTAGGACAAGGACTATAATTCTCATTGTAAGTATAATGATAAATATAAAGTAACTAACCTATTATAAATTCCCAATCTTAGTTACATTAGGAAAATGTGAATTTGGTGCTAACCCATGAAATTACACTTTGTACCTTACCAGGTCGTTGGTGGAGCGTGTGTGGGTAACCGGCACACTAACATGGACTAGTAAGAGTGGCAAATGGTGACTTAATGTTTACCATCGATTGGTGGAGCGTGTGTGGGTAACCGTCACATCGATTAGGTGATAAAGATTAAAGGTACCAATATAATTTGCATGGTTATTCACACATTGTTTGTGATCCTCGACATCCCAGTCACAAACTTGAGAGGGCACAATGAAGATTTAAACATGCCATTGAAAAGTTCAATGAATCTCAAAAGATCTAGGAGTTTCAAATCCAATTAAAACCTAATAATTTATTTCGTTTTTCATTGTGGAAATTGGTGAATCGTCATTCCCCTACCTTCAAATATTTTGTAGCTTGGATTACGGCATCCCTCTTCAAAGTTATAAAATATTGTGTTGGGTCCTAGCCTTAATATTTCATATTGGGTGTTCTATTAAGGACTTAAATCAACTAACTTGAATTTCTCCCATTGTAGATGTCTGGTTCAGACAACTATTATCTTCCCAAATCTCTTGGAACAAGCTTCCCTAATGAAGATGATGTCCCGCGATTGGATCATGGAAATCATACTTCTCTTCCTCCACCTCCTCCAATTATTCTCCCTGATCCACAAGCTCGAAGACTTGAAAAGTTCAAGATCACTCAAGCCCTATTTGCAATGAAACATAAAGATGGAGGACTTATGTGTACTCATGTCTTAGAGATGAAGTCACACATCGACAGGTTGAGAATGTTGGGTGTCGATATCCCAAGGAAGTTGGCTATTGACTGGGTTCTTCAGTCACTTCCTGAGTCCTATAGTGAGTTCATTAAGGACTACTATGTGACAGCTCACGACATGACCCTTATTAATATTTCTTATTTTCTTGGGTGTCGAGTTTAATTAACTACTTTTTCCAATTGGAACTTTTGTTTTCTATAATTAACATTGCTAACTTGCAACACTTATCATAATTATCATGCTCCCACTAACATGATAATTATTAGCATAACACTTATGCCCCCACTAGCTTTGACATGCATCCATAAATCAGCCATATCTCCACATAACACTTATGCTCCCCCTATAGGGAAAACTGCAATAAAGTCCCTATGAATTGCCCGTATAATCGATTTAGCCCCTATATATATATATATATATATATATATATATATATATATATATATATATATATATATATATATATTTGCAATTTAGTCCTAAATACTGATAAATATAATCAAAACGGGATATTTAATGGGTTAGCCGATATCTAACTGATGTGGCAGCTTACGTGGAAGTCATCATGTTAAATAACATCCTACGTGCCATTTAAGAGGGCTAAATCAATGAAGCGGGCTCTTCTTCTTCATTCGACAGTCAAAGGAGCGGACGATTAGGGCAAATTGGAAAAAGGAAATCGATGTCAAGTTCGTCAACCACCAACATCAGAATGTGCTATTGTGGAGATAGGGCTAGAATGCGGACATCATGGACTCGAAAGAATCCAGGTCGGAGGTTTTTTGGTTGCCCAAATTACATGGTATAGAATCTTCAAATCCCACTCAGATTCTTCTATTTCGCTAAATTACCATTCTTCTATGTTAAAAACATGCATCTTTCTATGTTATGTAGGATGAAGAGAAGGACTGTAGGTATTTTCGTTCGATTGACCCACCACAATTGAATAAGTGGTATAAAGAAAGAATGTATGAATTAGGAGTTGTTGCTAATGAGGGTGTAGCTATTCCTTTCAATAACCTTGTTAATGAAGGTGAAATACCTGTTGATGGCCCTATTGCCCCTGTGAATGTTGATGTCCCTATTGCCCCTGTGAATGCTCTTGAACCTGATAATCAAATTGCAATGCGTGAGAATAAACATGTGCTTGGTAATGAATTTGGATTCTGCAAGTGGATGATGGTTTGTTTCGTTTGTTTCATTGTAGGGATGATGTATGGTTAGTTTAGTATAAGTTGTAGGGTATTATGATATGGTAGGGATGATGTAATCTTTTGGTTTGTTATCATGATGTAATGGATAAATGTTCTTGTGGATCATGTAATGTTTTGGTTAATGAAATGGCAATATGTTATTATGGTTTGCATAAGTGGTGTACACTTGACAAATATAACCATGAAGTATGCACACTTGTGGCTAAAATAATTAAACAACAAACTCCAATATGTCATTACCAACCATGTTAAGGGCATTCACAATGTTTCAATGTGTTTACAAAAGATGTACAAAATATGGCTATCAGTAATTTAAGGGCATTCACAAAAGATGTACAAAAGTAGCATTCACAAAAGATGCACAAAAGTAGCATTCACAAAAGATGTACCAAAATACCCTTACTACCCTTAACACCCTAACACCCTAATCCAACTCCAATGCTGAATTTGCAGAAGTCCCAACACATCCCATCTTCTTCATCTTGTTTTTAACAATCCTCTCAGAGGGCCTTCTTCTTTTCATAATCCTAAGGTGTACTGGTAATTCCTAGGTGTCATTAATGCCTTCTTCTTCTTCTTTTTTCTTCTTCTTCTTCTTCTTATTCTTCTTCTTCTTCTTCTTCTTCTTCTTCTTCTTCTTCACTTTCTGGTTGTGTCTCAGGGATAATTTCTTCAGCCCTATCTTGTGTCTCAGTCTGAGGTGGATACTCCTCTTCCTATAAAACATCAAGCAATTAATAATATAAATGCATGTTATCATTAAGGTAATATAGAGGGCTTACCATAGACATAGGAAGAACTTGTTCAATAATGTCATTGTAATCATTGAGCTGTTTCATATGTGAATCTGTCAGACTAAGTGTATTTTTAATTTCTTCAATTGAATACCCTGATAGTTTCAAATCTTGCATTGCCTTCCATAAATAGACTAAATATTTTTCTGGAATAGGTTCATCCTCATTTTCAACTCCACCACCTTCAACTTCAGCCACTCCGCCACCTTCAATTCCAAAACCTACAGCTGCACACTTTGCTTTATAAGTCAACCACGTACCCTTCTAATCCATTCCTGGCTTCAAAAATAGATGGTCCACATGGATTCACATTACAATTCCTACAATGACATTACTAAATGAAATCATAACAATGAAATTAGAATAATGATGATAAGGAACAATAAAAATGCTCAGACAAACCTCAAATCCTCTCCAAACTTGTTCATTTTCTTGATAGCAGCTGGACAAACCACTGATTCCTACTTTTCTGCCTTTTGTAACATATGGTAGAACCTATCCATCATGTACAACCTAATTTCTTCAAACATTGCTAGAAGGGGTTTCTTTCTAGCATCCAATATGATGCCGTTGAAGCACTCTGCAATGCCATTTTCAACTGTCTCACATGCTACATCAGTCCTAAAAAATGCCCTACACCATGTGTGAGGATGTCTTGCAAGCAAATGTTCATAAGCATTGGGATTAACCTCTTTTATATCATCCATTTTCCTCAGAAATTCACTCTCTACAGTTGAAAAGGAAGCTGCCCAGAACATATTCTTGAACTCCACTCCAAAATAGGTCTTCCTAAAGTTAGCATATATGTGTCTTGCACACTATCTATGCTCCACATTTGGTAGTACTTCCTTGGTTGCTTCAAGCAATCCCTTCAATGTAATGAATACATAAACATATAAGATGATGGTGAGGAAAAATCATAAATATGCTAAGAAATTACAAACCTTATGTTGATCAGAAATTAAAGTAAACCCTCCTCCATCTAGCAGATTAAGATCCTCTATGAGCAGTTCTAGAAACCATTTCCAATTAGCTTTGTTTTCAATTTCAACAACTGCCCAAGCAATTGGATAAACTTGGTTGTTTGCATCCCTCCCTATTGCTGTGAGTAATTCTCCTTTACATGTCCCTTTCAAGAAAGATCCATCTAGACCAATTACCCTACGACAACCTATTTTCCAACCTTCCTTGATTGCTTTAAAACACAAATACATCCTGTGAAAGTATGTTGTTTGATCTGGATTTATAGTGACACCCACTTGGACAGTGCTACCAGGATTTGACCTTAGTAACTCATGACAATAGTCCCACACCCTAGCACAATGTTATGTGAGTTTACCATCTATAATGCTCATTGCTCTACACCTTGTTATGTAAGCCTTAGACCAATACCCACCACAATGAAATTTCGTGCTAATTATTGATTGCATCTCCTTACACTTCAAGTTAGGTTTCATTATCAACTCCTTCAAAAAGTGTCTTGCTAGCCATCTGGGACTCAATAAATTTGAAATATTGAAATTTATAACACATTTGTGCTCATCGACTAAGGTTTTAATCTGAAAAGACCTTTCTTGAGTCATCCAGGAAGCATGAACTCTGAATGGACAGGGTTGAGACTTCATCTTAGAACCACATTTGGCAGTTAATGTCACAGTGTCACACTTTGCAAATTTAATGTTATACCCTGACTTAATAGCATAATTAGTGAGACATTGTTGCAACTGATGTGGTGATTCATACCTTTCACCAAGAAGGGGCTTCATCTTATTCCACTTAACTGATGGGTCATGAAAGGGGAATCCTGCACCAACCACATCTCCTAAATCAAGATCATTAGCCCCTGCTGTGTCATTGATTTCCTCTTCTGAACCAAACCCTTCTTCATCTTCATCAAGTAAGTTATTGTTTTCATCGGCTTCATTATCTTCATAATCGGAACTGAAGTTAAGGAAAACATCCTTGCATCTCTCTTTACCCTGTGTCTTGAAATCATCTTTTTCCATTTCCACATCTATGTGCTCAGTATCGAGCACCTCCTCATCATCTTCGTATTCTTCAGGGTCGTATTCTTCAGATGACTCATGGTGAACTTCCTCTGATTCGACAGCCATTGGGTTTTACCTTCGTTTCTCTCAGTAAAATCCAACTTCCTTCGTGTTTCACTCTGTAAAAACCATAACTTTTTCTCTCAATTTGATTTACTAGATGTCGAATGCAGTGGAAATGGAAGGGTAAAAATCTATTGTACACGTAAGGTGCCACATGCGCATAGTACCGGTGGGATACCGGCTAACCCATTAAATATCCCGTTTTGATTACGTTTACCTGTATTTAGGACTAAATTGCAAAAAAAAAATATAGGGGCTAAATCGATTATACGGGCAATACATAGGGACTTTATTGCAGTTTTCCCAATTTCTACACACTACCCAGTTGACTCGCCAAGTTCATCATGGAACTCGACGAGTCCATGCATATATTCAACCAACTCGCCGAGTCAGTTCATGCACTCGACGAGTTGGCAGGCCTCAATGCAGATTTTCGAGTTTTGGTGCTGGAATTCGTCTAAAATCATTACCTTAAACTGTTTTGGACTTATAAAACCTATTTTTGATGTGGTAATAATTATGGTAAACCAATTTCAAGGTTATTATCAAAATTTCAAGTTTTATATGTGTTTATATGTTTCTTGAAATTGTTGATATGATTGTTCATACACTTATGAGTTTTGGTAAATCATAGGAATTGTTGCAAATTGTTTGTTAGTTAATTCTTGATCTAAATGTTTTTAATGTAGTCCATAATTTGTCCTCAAGTTATGGATTACCAAAAGTCATTTCTTTTAAAGATCCATAAAAAACTCATAGGTTACACAATTGAAAAGTCTGTTTCATCATAAATTGTCTTATGAACTCCATAACTTGTCCTCAATTTATGGATGTTCATGAGTCTCTTCATTAAAGTTTTTAAAACCTTAATTAAACTCATAAGTTATGAAAATCCAAAAGTTTTTTGAATTGTTCAAAACTTGCCCTCAAGTTTTGGAATTTGTAAAGTTTCATACACACTTTAATTCCAAACCCTAGAGTTTTAAAAGTTAAAATTCAACCCTTATACTTTAAAGTATTATAAGTTAATAATATATATGTATAAGAGTAAGTCAGTCTTACCGTTAGTAGGCCTCATTCACGAAGGTGGTCTATATGGGGGGTATAAGGTTGTTGCCTATAAAATGGTAGCTTAATGGGTGTCCACTCTCACCCACCGCTTCCTTGACTGGTGGAGGGTTGTTAGCCGAACGGGTAGGACAATGACTATAATTCTCATTATAAGTATAATGATAAATATAAAGTAACTAACCTATTATAAATTCCCAATCTTAGTTACTTTAGGAAAATGTGAATTTGGTGCTAAACCATGAAATTACACTTTGTACCTTACCAGGTCGTTGGTGGAGTGTGTATGGGTAACCGACACACTAACATGGACTAGTAAGAATGGCAAAGGGTGACTTAATGTTTATCATCGATCGGTGGAGCGCGTGTGGGTAACTGGAAGATCAATTAGGTGATAAAGATTAAAGGTACCAATATAATTTGCATGGTTTTTCACACATTGTTTGTGATCCTCGGCATCCCAGTCACAAAGATGAGAGGGCACAATGGAGATTTAAACATGTCATTGAAAAGTTTAATGAATCTCAAAAGATCTAGGAGTTTCAAATCCAATTAAAACCTAATAATTTATTTCGTTTTTCATGGTGGAAATTGGTGAATCTTCATTCCCCTACCTTCAAATATTTTGTAGCTTAGATTACGGCATCCCTCTTCCAAGTTATAAAGTAATGTGTTGGGTCATAGCCTTAATATTTCATATTGGGTGTTCTATTAAGGACTTAAATCAACTAACTTGAATTTCTCCCATTGTAGATGTCTGGTTCAGACAACTGTGATTTCCTAAATCTCTTGGAACAAGCTTCCCTAATGAAGATGATGTCCCGCGATTGGATCATGGAAATCATACTTCTCTTCTTCCACCTCCTCCAATTATTCTCCTGACCCACAAGCTCGAAGACTTGAAAAGTTCAAGATCACTCAAGCCCTACTTGTAATGAAACATAAAGATGGAAGACTTGTGTGTACTCATGTCTTAGAGATGAAGTCACACATTGACAGGTTGAGAATGTTGGGTGTCAATATCCCAAGGAAGTTGGCTATTGACTGGGTTATTCAGTCACTTCCTGAGTCGTATAGTGAGTTCATTAAGGACTACTATGTGACAGATGACAACATGACCCTTATTGATCTTTCTTATTTGCTTGTTGCCTCTGAATCAGAAATGTTTTGGCGCACTAGAAAAGTAAATTTCGGTGGACGGGATCGGCCATGATCAACCCGGTTGACCAAAAGGTAAAGGGAAAGGCTAAGTCTATGATAGTTCTGTGTACCATTCCCAAAGAGTCTATACGTTTTTATTGTCAAAAGAAGGGGCATTGGTTGCGAAGCTGCCCTAATTACCTGAAAGATCTGAGAGAAGGAAGAATCAAAATGTTTGACTCTGTTTCAGGTAAGTCCACTATCTAACTCTGTTAAGTTCCTAATTGTTGATTCTTAATACATTATGTGACTTTGTTACATTTTGATGTTTTGCAGGGTCAAGCAAAGGGAAGGAAGCTTAAAAGAAGAGTATGCTGAATCTGATCGCGAAGATGGATTTCAATCGCATGGTTCGAAGATCGGATTTCTGCGCTACTACTTAGGGGTTATGATAGATTGCAAGGAAATATGTAATAGCGTAGCTTTCATTTAAAGTTGCATTGTAAGATAAAAGTTTTTTCCGCATTTCATAAATAAATAAATTTTTTTTGTTTTATTTTATATCTCCTTGCAATGGCATTTTTGGAAAATTGATGTTTGTATGTTTCTAGCAATAATGGAAATATGAATTTGATTCTTTCATTTGTGGCAGTGTCTAAATTTACCAAATAAGGAAAGATTCTCATTAACCAAGTTTCAATTGGACCGAAACTTGGAATCATGCAAGTTGTATTGTATGATGAATGAGAATTTTCACCTTTTGAAAATTAAGACTAATTCCTTGTTCACATGTATATGTGAGTCAAGCGAAGGACAAAGGGATCGGGTACACTTGGTTGTGCGTTGGTCAGGTCCACCACGAAGATCGATAAGGCTATTCGTTATGATTCACTAAAAGTTAGTAAATATGGTTACACTTACAAGTTTAAGTGTAATTCTGAAACATTGGAAAAGTTTCAGTGTATGACAGAACGAATGAGAAGAATCAAATTAGGCAGAAAGATAAAAGATTCTCGAATCTGAAAAGATGGGAGAGTACATTAGTATCATGTTTTATGATCATCTTAATGATTATGAAACCATATCACAATTCATCTTCTAAGGACATCTTAGTGCATTCTTATGGCTAAGAAGAGGAGTCATGAATTGTTGAAGTGGTTAAATCAAGAAGATGAGTCATACTTCGTTCCAAAACAATTCTTAGAGTCATACTTCAAGATTGTTACTTGAGTGATATATCTTAAAGAAGGTTTATAACACTTGTAAAATGTAAGAGTAAAATGTTTTCTACTCTTGTACATTTGAAATTGGTAAGCTGTGATGTTTTGGATAGAACAAAGACCAACTAAAGCCAATTGTGTGAAGTGTTTGTCTTGATAAGAATCTGCACTATCCCTTGAATATTTGTTTGTCAAGGAATGGTTCTTGGAAAGAGAGTCTTATATGTCAAGAGGACAGTGGGATTCTAAAAGATCCTGAAAGAGTTTCAAGAACTGATCAAGAATAAAACCCGTAGTTTATCACTAGCACACGACTTTAGGTTTGTAACCTATCGTGTTGACATATTCTTATTTCTATGCCCATTCGAGTTAAAGTTGACTATGCATCTGAGTTCTACAAGTTCTCAGTTGTTTACATAACTACTTGGAAGCAATGGCAGGCCCTTGTGCTGCCAGGTGGCAAGAAGTTAAGATTGCACAAGTTTAGTCCATATGAATTTGGATTTGTCACTAAGCTTGTCTTGTGATTATGGTTTTGACAAATTCACATGGATATGAACATATACACCATAAAGTCTAAGTGTCATAAGGTTTCTCTCCGATTCATGAAAATGATGGTGAGGAAACGCTTCCACTAAGTAGATTTTAAGTAGATAGCAATTGTGATATTTGTATTCTCAAAGTCGTTAGTGGAGCGTGTGTGGGTAACCGACACACTAACATGGACTTGTGAGAAATGGCAGACACACATGTGAGCTATCTAAGAAAATGTGTATGATTTTGATAAAGTTTTATCAAAGCATCTCGTATCAGAAATCTGAACTTTGGTAAGAAAGTCAAAAAAGTATTGATCTCTATAAGTCCAGCTGATTTCTGGATACATGTCAAAGCTAGTGGGAGCATAAGTGTTATGCTAATAATTATCATGTTAGTGGGAGCATGGTAATTATGATAAGTGTTGCAATTTAGCAATCTTAATTATAGAAAACAAAAGTTCCAATTGGGAAAAGTTGTTTTGCTATAATTAAAGGAGAGGAAATTATACTTCATTTCAATTCTAAAAGCTTAGATTGATATTTTAATCATCTTTAGTCAAGGATATATATATATATATATATATATATATATATATATATATATATATATATATATATATATATGAATTTTGTGTTGGAATGGTTCAACATGAGGAAATTCTATATATATATTGCGTTCTCAAATTCGATTATGTTTACGGCATCCCTCTTCATAGTCGAATTATGAAAACATGGCAAATAAAAAAATATTGTAGAAAAAGACTGGTCTAGGATCATGTCTTTAAGTGAGGCATCATGAATCGTGTCCCATATTCTTCGGATATAGGATCGATTACATGTTCTATAATATTTATTCTTTCTAAATTTTCCAAATGCCCAGGGCATTAAGAGGGGAAAAGGTCTAGAATTGGATATGTCTAAAATGATTAAGAAATTGTTGAGGACAATCTGAGGTTTTACCAAAGATTGGTTGCTTATGGACAGTTAGAAGTATGGTGTAAATTTTTTGGAAATGACCATATTGACATATTCTGAGAAG